GAACAACTGAATAAATGAACAAATTGCTCACAGGTATATAAATTAAGTATACTTCTAGTAATTAATCTTTTTAAGATTTATCTTCATTTGTTAATATTATTCTTTAAAGTATACTTCTAGTAATTAATCTTTTTAAGAATTATTTATCTTCATTTGTTAATATTATTCTTTTTTTTTTATGGGGAGGTTTTTGCTATAGGGCCCGTGTACTCGCCAGAGAGACAGAGAGAGAAAGAGAGAGAGAAAGCGAGAAATCACCCCCCGGGGGGGATGGCCATGCTGCAATCCCTTCTCCATTCTCCTCTCGGGATCTTGGGCACACACACACACGTGCCCGGCGTGAGTTTAAGCCACCGGGTCCAGGACTTGAACCGTGGTCGACTACATGGGAGTCCAGCAACATAGCCATTACGCTAACTGCTGGTCCCTCATTTGTTATTATTCTTAATTTGACGAGAGACAGAAAGAGAATGTGAGGAAGCAAGCAAGCCACCAGGTTCAGGACTTGAAGCGTAGTTGGCCACGTTAGAGTCTAGCACCTTCATCACCATGCCACCTGCCGGCCCCATACTTCTAGTAATTTAACTTAAGAAAATCACAAGTACAAAAATTTCTACAGAAGAATGCTTTAGAGGAAAACTAGACTTCATATTATGTTTAAAATCAATCTGCTAGACTATTTTGGGGAATTTTGTTTTGGACTTTCTGAACTAATCATCCAGTAACTAGTATGGAGAAAATATGTATACTAAAGTTCTGTTAAGCAAGATGGGACTATCTCACAGTAAAAGACACAGCTTTAACAAAATTTAAAAAATAATTTCCGAGTCTGAATTTTACCTAAAACAGTGTTATAGTGTAGTTAAATAGCTCCAATTTTCAGAGTTCTCATAATTTTTGTAACTGTCCTTACTAAATGACCTAATAGAAGTTTAGACACTTAAATTAGATTTTATCCATCTTTAGAGTAACATTGCATTAACATAATTTTAATGTAAATAAATCACTATTGAGCACTACTAAATTACCTTCATAATTTACCCTTTATGTGCTTTAATGTGTACAACTAAATGGTCTTCAGTAATGTTTAGTTACACAACCATTACCACAGTCTATGTTTAAAAGTTTTATCACCCCAAAATGAAACTCATTCCCTCTATTCTCTACACACCACCACCTCCCAACCCTACTCAACCATTAATCTACTTTCTGTGTCTGTATTTTCCTATTCTAGACATTTAACAGAAATGGACTCTTACAATGTATCCTTTTGTGACTGGCATCTTTCACTCAGCATGTTTTCAAGGCCATCCATGTTGTCCCATGTATCAGCACTCCTTTCTTTTTATGACCAAATAATATTCCACTGCATGTATGTATGACACTTTGTTTATTACTTGGTGTTTATTAGCTTGTTTCCACATTTTAGTGGCATTAATGCTGTTAGAAACATTCATGTACAAGTTTTTGTGTGAATTTAATGAAGTGTGTCATAACATTCCATTCACAGGTTCAAGAGACTCTCCCAAGTACCATAACTGTGGGCACTAAAACAGTGTAAAGCAAACTTGCAGTACCACAACCAAGTGATTTTTACTTTTAGAATATACCTGAAATAAAAGAAGTCTGCTTTTCCTTTGAATTTATTTGATGATAGATTTGAACTACAGTTGTTGAAAGCTGCCTTAGTACTTCCCTCACATTGTGTGGTTCATTAAGACAAAGGCCTTTTTCTTTCCTTTTTTTTTGAAGAAAGATTTTTGCTATGAGTGTGCATGCTGGTGGGAGAGAGACAGAGACAGACAGCAAGACATCACTCCCGGGGCACACACGCTGGGGGGGAGGGGGCAACCATACTGTAATTCCTTCTCTTTGAGTCTCCTCTGGGGATTTCAGGCACGCATGCACACACACCCAGCATGAGTTTTTAAGCTGCCAGGTCTGGGACTTGAACAGTGACCAACTACATATAGCTATGTAACCATTATGCAATCTGCTGGTCCCTAAAGGCCTTCCTAAAAATAAGTGCAGAAACAGAAGCCAAAGACTCACATATTGAGCCTCTTTTCCTACCAGTCCAGAGAAGGAAAAAATCTAGAGGTTTGGTCATTCTAAAATCTTGTACTATTAACTATTCTTAAAAGATGACCTGGAAAAAAACAATTCACTCATGACATACCAAACAAAACAAAACAAACCACCAGAACAAATATCTCTGTAATGCATTTATAACTTCAGGTCCATGAGTATTTCGTGACTTAAAATTATAAAATTTATTTAATTTAGCTACTATCATTTAAATATAACTATTATTTTAATGTTTCTTCAGTACAATTTTTTAAAAAGCAAAAAGAATTCTCATTAAGAAGGAAGTTATACTGTGAAAATATATTAACTCAAACTGTAGGGAGCAACAGATGGCATAATAGTTACATTGCTGGACTCCTGCGATGCCGGCCGAGGTTTGAGTCCTGGACCCAGAGGCTTAAAACTCATGCCACGTGTGTGCATATATACTCAAAATCCCAAGAAGAGAATGTAGAAGGGATTGTGGTATGGTCATCCCCCCGGATAGTGATTTCTCACTTTTTCTCTCTCTCTCTGCCTCGCTGGCAAGCGCATGTAACCGATATCAAAAATCTTTTAAAAAACAAAAACAAAAACTCAAACTATGTAAAATAAGATAAATTGACATCTATTAAAATAAATTAATATATAAAGATTTAAGTATATAGTTAAAGGGTATTTATCCAGCATCATCAAGATGTGTGTAGGTAGGAGACAGTGACAATTTATATATAGTCAAGACTCATTCATGTCAAGCTAAATGTAAGTTAAACTAGTACTAGCTAAATGTAGAAAAGTATAGGCAGAAAGGTATAGGCAGATACAGTACAGAGGTTTTCAACAAATATTTAATATGCTTATGATTTTTGTATAAATAACCTCGAAACTGTCTTAGCAGTCTATAAAAAAGTTGTCAAAGCTGCATTTTTCAATATAAAAATCTATGCGCTCTATCTTTGGCACAGGAAAACATTTTTTTTTTTTAATTTAACTGTCTCACCAACAACTATTCAAATAGTATTTATGCAATACTAAACTGATTTAAATCAAGCACAATGACAAGCCTGGTTTCTTTCAATATATTTATTTTTAAAAACAAAATTAAAATTATTTTAGAGAAAAAGGATAACAGATTCAAATACAGAAAACAGAATCATGTAACATTGCTTTATATAACCCTTAATCCTCTTCTGTGCAAAAAGGTAAATTACACTTTTCCAAAGTATCATCTATGATTTACAACCTGTATGTAGTTCCTATGTCTTATATAATTTATATATTCAACACAAAATCATTCCTTTTTATGAAAAGTATCTTTTCATTTCCTATAACCTTTACGAAAGCTTAGGCTAGAGTGTTAAAAAAAAGAACAGAACATGAAATTATGGAGATAGGTAGAAGACTGCACTAGGTAAGTGACTATCGGAGGACTTCTACCCAACAGTCCCAGAATGTACTCTAGGCCAGTATTAATGCCACTTCTATTAAGCTTCCATAATGTTAGTCAGTGACCAATTGACTTACAATGACCAAAAACTGGTTTTAGTAATAATGAACATCAGACATCAACAAAAGATATGTTCTGGTCATTTATAAGTAAGGGGGAAAAAAATCCACAAAGAGTTTTATTAAAAAAACAACTGGGACCAACAGTGGTTTCATTGCTGGACTCCTATGTGGCTGACTGCAGTGAGTCCCGGCCACAGTGGCTTAAAACTCACACCAGGCACATGTCCATATGTACCCAAAATCCTGAGAGAAGAATGTAGAAGGTGGGGGTGTGGTTTCTAGCTTTCTGTTTCTCCTTCTCTCCGGTGAGCAGATGCACCCAATAATAAAGAAATCTCTCTCTTAAACAAATAAACAAAAAAAGCTGAGAACTTTAAGTACTAGTATTTAAACAATTAACTTCAGTTCACTAGGACACATCTTTCAGAACCTTTTCCACTACTACTCATGACAACCAGGTTGTATTATATTTTCATTTTTTATGAATTTTGATCTGATTTTTATCCAACCTTTAAAACTTTATACTGATACTGAAACACAGTACTGTATTATTTGGATGCACTATAATTTCTTCACACCTACCTGTTACTTTTTATCAATTTGGTCAAATCAAATTCCAACAATACTAAATGAACTAGGCAACCTCAGTCATATCTGAAATATCAGATACCTGCACCTCAATGTGTCCACAGTATTGTTATAGATACAACACCTCTAAAATTGACGTTATTGATTTTCAGCTATTGGGACGTGTAAGTTATAAATCTTTTTTTTTTTTCCTAATTTATAATTCTGATTAAGGCCTGGCGCCCATGCGCTGCGGGACGCTCTGTGGGAGTGTGCATCCTCAGGTCAGCGAGTATCCCAGACTTCTCCACAATCCACGTGCTCGCCACGTTTTATCACAAGGCTCAACCTTTCTCTGTAAAGGGCCAGATAGTAAACATTTAAGATTCTGCAGGCCAAACTGCACGAGGCGACCACCCAACTGCTGTTCTAGACTGGAAAGCAGCCACGACCACATAATGGAGTGAGCATGGCTGTGTTCCAATAAAACTTTATTTATACACAGTGAAACTTGAACTTCACACTTTTCCACATGTCACCAAAGGGTACGTTTCATATTTACGTTAAAAAAACGTGAACACCATTCTTGGCTGGCCACCGAACCCCAGCGGGCCGCGGTGGCCGACCCGCGCGGTCACCCACGTGGGCAAACGACGGGAAACGAGGTCGAGGGTCACAGGGCAGGTCTCCACCCGAGCCCCACCTGCCAGCGGCGCCCCCGCCGCGTTCCCCGCGGTCCCCTCAGCTCTTAGGCCCCGTCCCCGTGCGGGGAGCCTGGGGTCGGGTTTCCGGCGGGACGGCCCCGGAACTCTTCCCGGGGTGTCCCCAGGGGAACGCCGCCTCCGCCGCTCACTCACTCGGAAATGCCGGCGCGGACGAAGGCCATAGCAACAGCGCAACTAGAAGGACTAAGGGCTTCATGGGCGTCGTAGGCAGCACTCCGCCATGCGACAGGAACGTCCTGGGGCCACCAGGCCGGGTACCTCAGGGCCGAAACGTTAGGCTGGCGG